GAGGAAAGCTGGCATTGGCAGCTGTTAAGGATATTAATGTGTGAGAAACATCAAAAAGTCTATCTTTATGTTAAACAAGTCATAATATGCCTTCACTGAAACTAGTGTGCCCACGTGGCATTTTGAACTGGGGTGTGACAAGCCTGCAGATGCCATGTCTTAGGTGCAGATCTCACATCTGTGTGAACTCTGAGATTTATGGAAGTAGGACTTAGTTTAGCTTCTCATAGGAGGAGGAGGGGTGGACACAGAGTTGGCAAAAAAGTGACTGAAATGGATTAGACAGTTCTGGTAGCATAACAGGTGGATTGTTGGTCTGCTGGTGTCTATCCAGAGTAAGATTTGATGGCATTCAGTGAGCAATGTCCACTACTTAGAATTGATGGGGTGCTGGGAAAGACCATGACAAGTTTCACCAAACTTTTTGAGGACACACCCTGAAAAGAAAACTGCTAATGGGGAACAGAATTGTGGGGATGGATAGAAGAAAGAAGAAGCTTACCTGTCAGAGAATTACCAACTGGCCCCCTGTCAGGTCATCCTTCTAAGAGAGAATGGCAAAATGCCAGTTAATTTCATAAGGCATTTCCTTGAACCTAGACTGGTAAATAGGAATTGGACTAGTAATTAGGGGCATGGGGTGCACATGTTAGGCTTATCTCAGAGGGTGGTATGATAGGCTTACTTAGATTGCTTTTGAGAACTAACACAAATTTAGAGAAAAAATGGGTTGGTGAAAAAAGCTTTGCTTTGCTATGCTATGCTTGGCTAGAGAGGGAGGGAACACTTCTGTAAAGAATGGAAAACACTTAGCCAGAAAAATAAAACTGCTTGACAATATTGGGATGAACTTGATTCCTTCTGACTTTGTTTATGAATAAAAGGAGGGAAAAAAACCAAACAAACCCTGGAACTTCCATGGTCCTGTCTGTTCAGTCACATCTTGTAACCATTACTGGAGCAGTTGCATAAGGAGAAGGGCTGTAGGATTATCTATAGATGATTATATAAAATAATTCTCTCCCAAGCACCGTGGTCTCAGTCCAGTCCTTCCTCTCCTGAGCTTTTATTTGAAAAGTATTAAAGAGTGTAATATCCAACTCTTTGAAGGAAAAAAAGCTGCTTTAGAGTGAATGGAGACATAGATCTTTTCCCAGAAAAAGATGCATCTGCTTTAAGAATCTGTAAAAGGAATGTGTGTGAGAGTGTGCAAATGCTGACAGATGCAGTTTACTTCTAAAGCTTAATTTTATTATTGTGTTCTAAGATTAGAATTAGGTGGCACTAAACTTGCATTTCCATTAGGAGGGAACTTGCGTATTACATGCTTTGCTTTGTTTTGCTTTTAAAATAGTTTCTTCCAGGCAACTTTGTGAAATGACATTGCTGAATACATTGCTCTGTATCTCCCACCTATTCTGTTTTTCTCCAAAAGGATGTCAGATACAGATATGGAGGACAAACACATTTTTAGTAATCCTCTGGAATGGAGATGGTTTGGGAAGAGAAAGTTGCTTATGGAAAGGTTGTCAGGAGGAAAAACAGGACCTCTTTCTGCTTCCTCTCAGCATGCCTACCATATCTGTCTGTCTGTCTGTCTAGTAATTTGGCCTTGAAAAAAATAGCTATTGGAATTTTATGACATTTATGTTTGAACATGCAGTTCTTGTTATTTTTAGTTCTAAAGCTAAGAGAGTTTAATTTTTGTTACAGAAACATCAAGGTTAATCAAACGAAATAATTTGCCTGAAAATTTCTTGGGTTTTAGGAGCCAGCTTTATTTACTGGGACTATGAGGAAAAATTTGGATCCTTTCAATGAGTATACTGATGAAGACCTGTGGAATTCTTTGGAAGAGGTAATTTTTCTGAAACATAATGCTTTTTGATCTGTTATTTCTTCAATCTGTTACTACTTTAATCTGTTGTTGAAGAGTTCTCTTTCTGGTATTTGTACTTGTGGCCTTGTTCCCATAAGCCAGAATGACCAAGAAGTCTGATGTACACTGAATGAGCAAGAGTGTTGCTAACTTGGGTAGGAAACCTGATGTCCTTCATATATTTGGGGTTACAACTTCCATGGCCCCTCATTAGTGAGCATGTTGGCTGCTGCTAATGGGAGAGTTCAGCATGTAAGGTGGGCATCTGGTAATGTTAAACTAATCACACACGCTCTATCCATAGTTTGTTAACTCATTTCAACCAATGAGTTCTGGCTTGCTGTTTCTCTTAATGCCATAAGCCAATGATAAACTATGGCTTGCTTATTTTGAAGCACTTTTTAAATATAAAATTGTATGAATATTTTGAAATTAGATGTGAGGTACCTTAATGTTCTCTTACAAACAATTTACTTAGAATTAGTGTAATGAATTGTTTATAGGTCCAGCTGAAAGAGGCAATAGAAGAGCTACCTGACAAACTGGAAACACAATTGGCGGAATCTGGATCTAATTTTAGTGTTGGCCAAAGACAACTGGTGTGCCTGGCCAGGGCTATTCTGAAGAAGAATAAAATATTGATCATCGATGAAGCAACTGCAAATGTTGACCCAAGGTGAACTGGAAGTATTATCTATCTACCTGCAATATTATTATAATATTTATGCATTGTAGTTATATGTCATTATAATCTACACAGACTGTCAGTGGCTGACATCAAAAAGTCATACAAAAATACCTACTAAACAAAAATAAATTATAAAAGCAACAATGTTAATAATTATAAAAGTAATACAGTAGATAATTGCAGATGAACACAAATGAAAAAGGTGATCACTCTTAGGGTTCATTTTGGCAAAATATCACCATTCAGTTATCAATGGACCTTCTCTAGAACTTGCTTGAATGCTCTTCCCTCAGCGGTTCTGGAGGGCAGATTTACCAGAGCTCCATTATTGCAGAGATTATGTTCCATGTGGATCAGGTGAAGTGAATCTAATGAATATGTTTTTGTGCACTCTGTATTCTACTCCTATCTGAGACAAAGGCAACTACAGCAGCCTTTAGAAGCTTTGCCCCATCACAGAGGAATTCTTTGTAAATTACTTCAGAGAGAGCTCCCAGTTTGGTTGCTAAATGTTGTTCCTTAGTGACAAGTATATAACCACAAGAAAATCACCATTATGGTATGATGCCTTATCATCTGTTTTATATTAAATCTAATATAAAATGCAGAAGAGTTCTATTTCTAATGCTAGATATATTGAGGTCTGAATACATTGATAACTGTTTGGGGAACAAGAGGGCAAAATGTCCATCTTTGTAATTTCATTTGATTTTTTAAAATAAGTTAATAGGATGCTTTTCCTATGTATGATATTTTGTTTTTGTGACATCCACATTAAATTGTAGTTAATCTGACCTAGTGGTTTAAAGAAACATAAATTGGCCATTATTCAATGAACTGTAGTTAAAAGAAATCACAATTTCTCCAATAAATTGCAGTGAAAATAGCATAGAAAAATTCTGATTTCTCCTTACAGTTGGATTAAAGAAGGTAAGAAATAAAACTTATTCTCCTTTGGAGGAAATTTGATTGAGAATTCGGTGCAACTAAAACCACTGGAAGTCTTTTTATTGGGATTGGTACTTCCAGGTTAATTTTTAACATTATCTCAATTAACATTCAAAAACTTGCTTCAAAGTATTACTGTTCTTATTTTACATAAAATACTAACTTTACACTATTTAAGGTTGAGCTGTGAAAAGGAAGTTTAACTGAAACATTCATAACTGGTAGTGGTTATGTTGGGAAGGAAAAGAAACTATATTCTAGAGCTGGCTCAATTCCTAGATGTACACTTAATAGAGAATATAAAACAGTGTTGATTCTTAATGACAATTGTAGCAATCTGATACTACAGTGACTCTTTATGAAATAGTCCTGATCTCTGATATAATTGGAGACACATTAAAGCACTCTAACCCATTTAAGTGAGAATGTGGACACCAAGTTTCATTTAAAGGAGGTCAAACCTACCACAGAGAAAGAAGGGAGAAGCAGAAATTATTTCCATGAGAGACTGCAGAGATTGTAGTAGCATGCCTTGTGGTAAGCCATGGTGCTTTTCAGATGTTTGGGGCAAGAATTCTTACAATTCCTTGCCACTGGTTGGGTTCATGAGATTTGAAGTCAAAAGATTAGCTATTTCTGGTATAAACTCTCTTTTCACCAAAGTGGACTTTAACTTTTCATGCAAGCAATATTACTCATTAAAAGAATGGAGGTTTTCAAGACAAAAATCCTACACAAATGGTAATTTTCTAACAAATATTACCATATGTGTATATGTGTTAGAACGTGGCATTTGGTCCATATGCTACAGAATTTGGTCACACGAATTGGAGAACCCAATATCAGTGACATGCAAAGAAATCATTTTAGGTTCAGTCAAGGAAACTCAGGGCTCTGTCAAGTGCAATCCTCATCTTCCTCCTCTTCACATAGGAAATGTGAAAGGGCTGCCTGCAAAGGGCTACAGCATGCTATGTTGTAGTGTAACATAACACTTTGACATGTCTAAAAGGCAAACATGTGCCTTACTGCTATAATTTATTCAAACATGTTGACATAATGCTATGCCAAAGAATGTAGAAAAACGAAGTGCCCAGAAGCAGAAACTGTTTTCCTTGTTACATAATCTCTTCACATTTCTTATGTTGTTTATTTCAGAACAGATGAGCTGATTCAGAAGACAATCCGTGAAAAGTTTGCCCAGTGTACTGTTTTGACAATTGCACACAGACTGAACACTATCATTGACAGTGACAGGATTATGGTGAGCATTTTGGGAAAAGTCTGATTCCAGGGTAGCTGAAATGACAGAGTTTTTATGCAGCCACTCCTACTGATTTCCTTTCACTGAGAACTTGGTCAAAGACCCTCATTTCAGGATGCAGGTGTGAGCAATATGTGTTGTCTGACCCAAACAATGTATTTCCAGTTATGCCCATGAGTATTAATACATGTGACATAAATCACCTTCATTAAGACTGCGCACTGATTAACAATGAAAACATAGGCTATGCTCCTACAGCAAGACTAGAATTATTTTTCCTTGTCACAGATAATCAGAGATTGAAGAAAAAGCTATTAAGCCAGATGGACAACTAAATCTAATACCTTGTCCAACTTCATCTCCTCCAGATGCTTTGGACTTCAACCTAGCATGCGGGCTGGGAATCCTGCATGTGGAAATCCAGGGCATCTGGATGATATTAGGTTGAAGAAGGGTATTTTGCTACCTCTCTTTTGCAATTCAAGAAAAGAGTATCAGAAGTCTTGCTGAATGCAGATACTGTATCCAGAACCCATAATCATAAACCAAACATGGAGGTTTGAGGCCACGATCACTAGTGGTCCTGGGACCCCTACTTTCCCCATTTACCTAATTACCAAAAATCAGCAGCCCAGCTTCCCACCATTTTGAGGTGGAAAAACATTAAACATTGTAGTATATAATATAAAGTAAGTTTGACATAGCTTGCAAAAAGGAAAATCCCAAGTTTACCCATGCCAGTGTATGACATGGTTTGGACCTCCATGGCCCTTGCCTTCCCTCCAAAACGGAGCCAGGAAAAAGATTCCCACACCTGCTCTAAATATGCCATTGAAACAAGAGAATTAGGCAATGTTACGATTTTTAAGTGCTGCTTAAATTAAGAAATATCCTAATTTAAATTGTAATTTGTCACTTCTCCCACCTAAATTACACAAATTGTAATTTGTCACTTCTCCCACCCATCAGCTATGTATTTGTCTCCCCAGATACATAGCTGATGGGATGCAGGCAACAGGAAATAGGCTTGCTAGATGTCTGTTCATTAGAAATCAGACCTAGCATAAAATATCATAAGCATGCACAGGGTAAATCTAGTCTTTGGTTGCATTTGTGACATGCTGGCCAAATTGTACCCAAATATACTATTTACTACCCTTACCATAATAGAGAACTCTACTCTACATGTTCTCTATTATAACTATTTGGCATAGTTATGACCAAATTTGGTAATCTAGTCTGCTTTCTTTAGCTTATTAAAAAGTACTATGTGATATAAAGCATTCCCAAAACCATAGACAGTGGAGGTCTTTTTACGTGATCTCATCTTTTGAATCTTTTTCTCTGTTTTGCATAAAATTGCTTGCTGTTTTATTGTTTTTTTATCATTCCTTGGTGCTCTCTGAGTTTGGTGGTTTGCTTGCAGGTGTTTCATTACCTGACTAGGTAACATCAATAGTGCTAGTGAGTGTGGGTTTGCTCCCTGTTTATATACAGTAGCTTGCCCTGCCAGTGTTAGCGGGGGTGTGGTTTTCTCCTTGGTAGCTCCTTTATTAGGGTATTGTTTTCTGCTTGATTGTTTGTCTCCTTGGTAGTACATTGGTTGTTTTCTGCTTGATTGTTTGCCTAGTGTTAATCCCTGCTTATCTGGGTGTTGGCTGCCGGAGAGGACATGTTCTGGTCTTTTTGTTTCCTTCTTAGCTTTTTTCGATCTTAGCATATTTGGCTAGGTGAGGTGTGTTGTGTAGTACCGTTGCCATGGATTCTTTCACTGGTTCTGGATCTATGGATGTAAAGAGCCCTGTGACATCGAATGAAACCATGATTCCATCTACTTCTATTTTTAGGGTTGAAGGTGAATAGAAGAAGATAAATCATGGTTTCATTCAACGTCACAGCACTCTTTACATCTATATATCCAGAATTAGCGAAAGAATCCATGGCAATAGCACTACACAACACACCCGACCTAGCCAAATACACTAAGATCAAAATACCCAGAATCTTGGATCTCATAAACCTCTGCCTCACTGCCTATTTCCAGTTTGATAGACAAATATACCAACAAATCAGAGGAACACCCATGGGATCACCACTCTCAGGACTCATAGCAGAGACTGTAATGCAGCATCTAAAAACTATGCAACCACACATACAGTCATGTGAAAAAGAAAGTATCCCCTCTTTGAGTTCTATGGTTTTATGTAACAGAACATAATAAAAATCATCTGGTCCTTAGAAGTTCTCAAAAGTAGGTAAATACAACCTCAGATGAACAACCATGACATATT